AGGAGATATTGGCCCCTCAACTCTTCTCCCGGGTAACCAGAGCTGGAGTGCAGCTTCAAAAAGGGCATAACAACCAATAATCTTCCATGCAATAGCAGTAGGTTTAGGCCATATGTTGACAAATCCCTCAAACCCATTCTCCTTGAGATAATTGAATGTGTTTAGTAGAGAACCATCAAGATATACCATTGTGTACCATCTGCAAACAGAAACAAAAACTTTAGTGAAAATCTCCATGGCGGACTTATTTAGGTTTCCATCTTTATCAAAGTAGCATCTTAGATGGAAAAAGAAGACTTAAAAATATCATTAAACTATGCAAATTGGATGATGCATGATCTCATAAGTACATGCAAACAGAGGGATCCCAAAAGACAAGATCCAGATGCATATTCCTTCATTTAGTAGGGAGCTGTGGATTTGAATCAAAACCAGTGAACAAAACAAATAAGAATTTGAAGAATTGTGAAAGGATCTGCAAATAATTACGACATGCACTTCATATAGTGTGTTTGCGTTTATATATGCATGAATCAATCCATGGTGCATCAGCATAAGATGCAAAAGAACAAAAATCTGATCCGAGAAATAGTAAAGAAAAAGGAAATCTCGATGGAATCAAGAGAAAAAAGTTGAAAGATCGAAAACTTACAGGAGGATGACAAAAGGAGGGCAGGTGGAGAGAAGAGTGATGACGGAAAAGTAAGTGAGAATGGGAGAATGGACCATCTCCTTCTTCTTCGAATCTGGTTCTGCAACGCCCATTTTTGATTTCTTCAGACAGTAGAATGGGAGTGGAGAAGATGAATGTGGAGGCGAAGACCCGCTGGAACGACTTGACTTCTTAAACTTCAATTTTGATCAGTGGTTCTTAGTGGCGTTTGGTACTTGGCTTCTTAAACTTCAATTTTGGTCGTTGATTCTTGATGAAATTTGTTAAATCAATTTTACTTTGAATGGAATATTATTATAGAAACTGTTTGGTTGGTATACTTTGAAATGAAATATGTTAAAAGAATTGGAATCTATCTATTTGGTTTAAATATAACCACAAGCCAAACGACGTTACTAAATCAACGGTGGTTCGAATCGGTGGTGGTCCTCGGTGGTTCAGATGGCAGTGGTCGGTAAAGGTTTAGATCCATGGTGGATCAGATCGGTGGTGGTTTAGATCGGCGGTGGTCGACGATGATTCAAATTGACGGTGGTCGAAGGTGGTCGACAATGATCATATTGCGTTTTATGAGATTAGGGTATATTGAGTTAAGGGCATATTTGGTATTATGAAAATAGAGAATTTCATTTCATCAAAATACCATGTAGTTCTTAAGAAATGTTAAATTCCTTTATTTGTGAAATTTGTAAGATTTTAAAGATTTCTTTCGTGAAAAAAATGAACCAAACGAGTGAATGAAATTTGATCAATGGTATTCAACATTCCAAATCCATCATATTGCTTTAGAATCTGCGAACCATACGTTCCTTAATGATTTCTTTGAAAATAGGATTTATACTTTAACAAGTTAAAAAAGTCATCCCTCGTGTTTGAATTTTATTTTGAAAATGAGACAAAAGGGTTGTTTATCAAACGATTATTCCAGTAAAATTCAATATTTATCACTTACGGTATCATATCTAACAATTTACCCGGTAAGCATTAATCGTGATAAGAGTTATCGCTCTCATTTACTGGGCAAGATTCTCGATCGTTATCACATTCATCCGATAAAGTAACGTGACCCCTAACTCGATTTATTAATGTCCATTAAAGCTAGACATCACATGTATGTGTTTTCCTTTTTCTTAGGAAAAGTAGAGTTTTACTCCATTTATTACACCAAATAATTGCTATTTCTTTAAATAAACAAATGTAATAGTATTAATGTTTGTATTCAATGCGATTATAGATTTTTAGTGATAATATTTATTCCTTTTAAGAAAGCAATTATTAGCGTACAAGGATTTATATCAAAGGGTGAGGAAATATCCATCTCTCTTTATCATAAATTTATCTCTTTCTATCCTTTAGATCAAAGTTAACTAATAAATTTTTTTTATTTTAAAAAAATTATAAAAAAATTTATGTTTTATAATTTTTTTCAACATTGTTTTCTAATTTATGTTTTATAATAAATTTTTACGAACTAACTATTTCTAAATTAATTCAAATAACTATAAAAAATTATTTTTAATTTTTATAATTGTATTGTTAATGTTTTAATTAATTAATAATATATATATATATTTTAAATAAATATTTAAAGCTACAAAGATAAAATAATTTAATGCAAAAAATATCATCAAAATAAGTTAATTGATAAATCAACAAATAAAGTATAAAGATTCTGAAAATATTACAACTCAATCAAATAAAATAAATTTCGTAATACGATTACTATATAACAGTTGTTTGTACTTATTTATTCGGGTCATGTACGGGGTAGTCCATGCGGTTGCGCAATCATATTTGAAACGAAACCAAATTTGACACGATAAAATACATCGGATGCCCTTCTACCAAAGATATTTTGACGTAATGATTACCGTAAACGTACCCAATTGTAAAAACAACATGTTCATACTATGGCGGAAGACTAGATCGAAGTGGGAAGAATGCAGGGACGGGCCCAGAAAAATTTTCAAACGGTGGCACCATATAATTAATATAGTATAATATACATCTAAAAATAATTATAAAAAATATGGTTTATAGTACCGATAGGGCTGTAAACGAACCGAACCGAACCTTCAGCGAACCGTTCGTGAACCGTTCGGTGGGAAGTTCGTTTATTTAATAAATGAACGAACATGAACTATTTTTTTGTTCGTTTAGTTAAACGAACGAACATGAACAAGGGTCTCATTCGTTCATTTACCGTTCGTTTATATTCGTTTGTTTATGTTCGTTTATATATTAAGTTTAATATATTATCTTTTATTTATTTACTTTGAATTCAAATAATATTCATTTATGTTCGTTTAGTCCGTTCGTTTATGTTCGTTCGTTTAGCATGTTTACGAACGAACATAAATGAACACACCTTATTTCTAAACGAACGAACACGAACACACAGATTTTCGTTCGTTTACCGTTCGTGTTCGTTCGTTTATTCGGTTAAGTTAAACGAATGAACATGAACAAGCCTCCGTTCGTGTTCGTTCGGTTCGTTTACAGCCCTAAGTACCGATAAACAACTCCTAAACTTGTATCTGACGCGTCTTTATCTTTTGAAAACGGTCAATATATACCCAAAAATAATTACAAAAAGTATGGTTTTGGTTATTTGGGCTTTGTTTTGTTTGGTTTTAGTTGCACCATTTGGATTTAAGGGAAATACGGTAGCACCTTCTAAAACGATACGGTAGCACCGTTAACAAACCTAAATTTTTTACCCTTCGACGGCGAAATAATACGGTGGCACGTGCCACCCATGCCACCACATCAGGTCCGCCCATGGAAGAATGTCAGACTACCTATAATTGTTAAAGAATGTAGTATCACATCATATCTTAAAGCAATCAACAAGCCCGTTTCAAAAACATCTATCCAACGCTCATTTGGTGCAAATGAGTCTAGCTCAAAGAAGTTCAAAGAGTTATAAAGTCGATGTCATAGTTCAATGTCATACAACTCAAGATATTTTATCTTGTACATGTTTAACTCTTCCATTAAATCATATCGAATAGATGGTCATTCATCTTCATGGCGGCTGGACAACTATGTCTATGAGGTTCTTGAGTTGGTGGGTTGACACGACTTTTTTTGACAACCTTACTCTTCAATGAGGGATGACCACGAGTTATTGTATGAACAGTCGATTCACAAATACGAGTTGTCCAAGGCGCGATTATCTCCCTTATTTTTCTTATAAAATTGGACTTCATTGATCTCAACTGTTTTTTGAATTTCTCAGTAAACATTTGCACTTCATCATCACAACAAATATCACCATCTTCCACGGATATACACGGTGATAAATCAAGTTTCCTCAAAAATCCGTCAATCGATTCAAGTGGAATAGACTGGCCTCCATTGAAATAATATGTTTGTTCATGTGCACATGGTAACACGTAACATGTACGCAATTTGACATTTATAGTTTCCTGAAACTAAGCCAAGATCTTTTGACCGCTCAAATTATTTGAAGATTAACTTCAACGCATGCAATGAAACAAAACCATGTAGCTTGGTGGAAGTGTGGTTTGTTATATCGATGTTTGACGATATTTTTGCTCTGTTGTAAGCTTGCTTTGATTGACCTCTAAGCTTATGTTTTCAAAATTTATTTTCTATATATTTTTATTATAACAATATTGTTTTTTTATAAAAAAAACATAATACACTTTAAAATAACTTATATTTGAATTTTTAATTAAAAATGACGAATTATTATCTGAATTTTTAGAAATTGTTGAAAACTGATGAAATTATTATTTGAATATTCAAAAATTTAAATAAGAATTGATTAGTTACTTTTTAAGTTTTAAAGTCTCAAAAAAATGATGGATTATTTTTTGAATTTTTAAAGTTGTAGAATGATTAATGATATATTCTATGAAAATATAGATAAAATGAAAATTAAGAATTTACATATAAATTTTTAAAGTTTCTATTCGATTTTCATAAAGACAAACCATACGACTATATACATATGGTTAAAACTTATAAAATTATAAAATAAATGATATATTATTTACAGAAAATAGCTAATTAGCAGTAAGCTAAAGGCAAGAATTAGCTTAAGGTCTAATTTATTATTATTAAGTTACGGATTTTTTATACTTTTGTTATGTTATTTACTGATTTTACCCATTAAAAAAATTTAGGATGTTAAAGTTCTTAGATTATATTTATTCATATTTTAAAGCCTCAAACTAGATAGGTCAAACGAGTCCACATTTTTTTGGTCTGGTTTGGTCAGTTGATGCCAAACCGCGGCTCGCAGTTTGGTTTGTTTAAATGGGGTTTAGACATTTGAAATCATTAAAATATAGATTATTTTCTAATCACCAGAAAGAAACTTTAGTTACAATCACATAATTGTTATGTAAAAAACAAAGAAACAAACAAAATTCAAATTGTACAACAGAAGTCAGGCCTAGGATCACTGTTGGTTTTGTCTATGTTGTTGGAAGTTATTATGGTTCTGTTGTGGGTTCTGCTGCATGGGTACCATACCAGGTTGTAGATTCTGGGTGTTTTGTTGCATGTTTCCAAAACCACCTTGTTGCTGCTGCTGCTGCTGCTGCTGTTGTATAGGCAACATGGTAGTAGGATTGGCTGCTCCCATGTTGAACACTGTCGAACAAAAATGATTATCAAACAAGCTACCAACAAGATTATATGCAAACTTGAAAGAAGGATTAAATGTACCCTGATCGTTAAGATTTTGGGAACCAAGAGTGCGGTTGGCACCAGATAATCCAAACTGCCATTCATAAACAAAAACAAGACCATTAGAAAACACAGAATACAACTTGGTAGATTATGTAATTGAAAACGAGCAAGAGAAGCTCATATAAGCAAAATACGATTGAATGGAAAAGCTATCTAGGAGATCTCTACAAGACCATGCTACCAAGGTCGAGAAATTAAAAGAGGGTATTTTAAAATGATGGGGATCAAGATGAGGATCTGAAGCAAGTTTGCAGAACGGAAAAAATGCTTCCAATTATCATGATCAACTCGAATAGGGAAATTGACCAAAATAGCCAATCTCCCCAACCAACTTCACTTCTTAGCCACTTTTTCAATTGAATTTCCATTTTAGCCAAAGCGTAAACTCGATTTTCAGATTAAAAAAAGAAAAAAGTTTTTTTGCGCAAGAATTCAAATTTTTACGTAGGGATTTTTTTTTGTTTCTTTTCCTAGAAATCAATCTTTATGCAAATGCGTGAAGACCGGCTATTTGTGAAGATGGTTTGAAGAGCGACTAAAAAGTGAATTTGGTTGATGGCATTGGCTATTTCAGTCAATCTCCCATGCAAATATAACCAGGCAGTGGAAGCTATGAAGAAGCTAACCTGCATCCGAGGCAGAAGTGATTGTGATGGCATCATAGCCGTCATATTCGAAATCTGACATTGGACAATAGCGACAGTTATATTGGGATAATGTACTTAAGCCATTAGAAAGCTAACACGACAACATACATCATGATATTGTTACTCTCCTGAGGTGCTATTTAGATTTTGTTTGTTTTTGGTGAGGGTGGTTGGAGGGCAGATTGCTAAACAACTTGTGAAACAAAAAACTCGGGAATTGTATCAATAGACACCAAGATTTGTGTTTAACAAGTAGCATTAGATGATTATCTTTCTAAGAGTAGTACAAAGGGTGGGGCCTTGTTTCATAAAAAATGATGAGAATTGACGGATGATATTCATAAAAGGTCGAGAACAATCCTCAAACACCCATAGTGAAAAGCAAAAGATTAAACAAAATGTGAAACTAATAACTGACCATCTGGTTATTTGGTGTAGCCTGTGCAGCATTAAACAGAGCACTATTGGCAGTGCTAGACATCTGGTTCAAATGACGAGTCAGCTGGTTTCCTTGGTTCAATTGACTTTGTGCAATGCCATGCTGAATAGCTCCAGATGGTAGCTGTCTGCCCTGGAATTGCTGGGCCCCCAACGACTGAGAAAATTGCATTTGATTTTGACCATGTAGCTGAGAAGAAAGAATGATAATTACAGTAAGAATAAATTAAGTTACCATTTAAACATGCAAGTGATGTGCTGGGGAGAAAACTAGAAATCAATACAGGGGGAAAGCGAAGCTCGATACTATGCTTACATTCGCTAAATCATATTAGAACCCAAACACTTATTTAACAAAAACAATGATTGGATAACAAAATAGCTTATGTTAGAAAGGCAAGATTCTCTCCCTAATCTTAATCTAAATCCAACGGTTTCTCCTCAAATTAAGCATAACTCCTAATTAATAAAGAATATAATTGGCTAAAGAAATTGCATAATTGCCTTTCCTTGGCTAATTACCAAGGAATGGATATTATTTCTTTAGTAATTAGCATGATTGTCATTAATTAATCATCCTGGTATGCCCAGAATAAGTAATCATGCTATTATGCCCCAAGAAATTGTTATAAGCAAAATGAATTGTTGTAGGCATGAAAATGGAACCAGTCAGAACTCCAAAAAGAAGTGGAACATTCAAACTTCTGGAACATGGATAGCATCATTCCATCCATACTATCTTACCTTAAGCTAAGTGCTTTGATGTATATCAATCCCTCAAATCTCTCTTGGCTAATCTGTAGCATCATAAGTACTGCAAAATTCTATTGAGCAATCTTCAATGTTGTATTGTTCTTACTGCTTATTCTCTTTTCAGCCTAAGTCGTCTGAAAACAGAATACCAACCTTTTTGAAATAAGTTATCAATCCAAGTCAAGATGGAAACTCACATGCATAAAGCACAACTTTTACCCGTGGAATACGATACTTGTTTCTTACCATTTTACTACCGGTTAAATATGATAGAACAAGAGTTCATGCCTGTACTGTTGTGTGAACTTATTACTAACTTTTCTGTGCATACAAAAGTGTTTTAGCTTTTAAACCTACTAAACAAGTTTTTGATGTCGTTGTCAGGGATTGAACATGGATCATCCACGTGACAGGTGGGAATACTTACCACTATACTACAAGGAAAAGATTCTTAGACCTCAAGACGTAGTATAGTGGTAAGTATTTCCGCCTATCACGCGGGTGACCCGGATTTGATTTCTGGTAATAGTGCCAAAAACTAGTTCACGAGATTCTTAGACCTCAGGATGTTTGTATATGCACAAAAAACAGCAACAAGTTAAGCAAGTATACACTCTCTTGTGTTATAGTCTTTAACAAGTCGTAAAATAGTAAGGAACCAAGTATCATTTTCCACATGGAAATGTTTGGTCTACGTGTGTAAGTTCTAAGTCTTGACTTAGATTGATAGCTTATTTCAAATAGGTAGCCTTTCTAATTTTTGATAGCTTAGGTTGAAAAGAGAACAACCGTAGAGATAAACTCAACTAAATAGCACCGATCTTGCAGCATTACTAACAACTTCCGCCAGGATAGCAACAACCGATTACACTCTTCCGAGTTATATCACACTTTTGATCATTGAACAGCTTATATTTAAACATGGAGTGTCGACCTGGGTGATAAATGCATGATTGAAGTGTATGCAAAGAACCTACGTTCCTACAAGATCGCAAAGAGTCCTTCCAAACATCGAGATGAACACATGTAACTATTATGTTACAAGACACAGATTTGTTTTAATAGCCTATATACTTATGTGGCTGTGTAATTTACTAGAAATGTTGTACATGAATGAACAAATGTAATAAAAAATATTAACCGAAAGACATAATATTCTCACCTGATATTTCTGTTGAGCCTGACCCTGCAAATCATGCAATTGTGACAACTGGTTCTGCGTGTATCAAATGATTACATTATAGCTATATATATATATACAGTTAAATCTATCTAGTGTAACTCCTCAAGTCAAAGATACATAATTCACATAATTCTAACGGCAACCGGAAGCCAATGGTCTTTACAATGCTAGCCTCAGTGAGAAGAATTTAAAGGAATGACTTACAAGTAGCCCCAAGTTGTATTCCATGCATAGAGTCCATTGGGTATCACTCTTTCAACAATTTTCCAAATACTAACTATGATAAATGCTGATTTTCGTTTCTTGAGAGAAGTGCAACTTACAAGTTACATCTAAGAAAGAGATTTCGGACTTAGAAATCATGTCCTGGTATGTATGGATGAGATAAAGATTCATAGGTTAAGTAGATAGGAGCTCATATTTGTTTTTGTACACAAAAGCATGATATGATTCAATTCAACTGTACAGACAGTATATGATACAAAAAAAAATGATGCAACGTCTCCAATGCAGCGATTCCTGATCATACTCATGGTTTTAAAAATCGTTTGAGGCTTACGCCTCGAGGAGAGGCGACCCAAAAACACACCTGACACGGCGCCTTTTGGACCCTGGACAAGGCCTACACCTTGGTTCAATGAGGCGTGAGGGGGTGTCGAGGCGTATGCCTCGGATGATATGCTTTGGTAATGGTTTTTTGGCTTTTTATAAGTTTTATGGCAGAAATAGGACTTCTCTTTATAGTGTGTTATTTTTTATTTTAAAAACCTAAAAGTCAAAGCCCAATGGCTCCAATGTGTACTTTTAATATTTTAAAACACAAAAAGCTAGTACTTTCTCCTCTCAATCAAAAAGTGTGGTTTCACTTTGACCCTTCCTCTTCCTCCTAGCAAACCAATTTTTCCACACCCTCTCAGCCTATCTCACAGTTTCACTCTTTCCTCTGTCAAGAACCACTGAACCAACGTCTCTTAGTAATTTAATATTATATGTATGTTTTATATAAATGTATATATATTTTTGTAGTATATATACATATTTTGGTGTGTATACATTTCCCCCTTGGGGCTTACGCTTCGGACCACCTCGAGGCCCGATTCCGCCTTTTAAAACCTTGATCATACAAATTGAATAGTGTAACAATACCTGCCCTAGCCCAGTCATCGGAGATTGCCTAAGCTGCTGAGCGAGGATTTGCTGCTGATGCTGTGGTAACTGCATCAACCTCTGCCTTTGTTGTTGGTGCTGTTGCTGCTGGTGTTGTTGCTGAGTTTGTTGTTGCGGAGAAGGTGTATTCATCATGTTTGTGGCAGACCTAGGTGAGTTTGCATATGGCAGCGGAGATGTTGTTGTGTTATCGAAGGATGATGCCCCAGTGGCACCAGAAGGGGAAGCAGCTGGTCTTCCTACGAGTTGTCCACCAGAAGCCTATTTTATAATTATCATGTACAACACCAAGACAAAATTGTTAAATGGAAATGGAACTGAATGAGAAAAGATGCAAGTGCAAAGATCATCTCTTGAAAATGAATGCTGAATGTTGAAACCAATCAGCATCAGAAAGACAGAAACAGACATATATTACAAGGAAAAATGATGATACCAGAATATTTTTATAACATGTTGTTTGCTATAGTGGGAAAAGATTGGCAGGGGAAGGAGTAGAGATGATGGACCTTATTGGTGAAGAAACAAAGAATGATAATAAAGAAAGCATACACCTCCTAAAAATATGTGAAACCCCATCAGATTAAGAGCCCTTGAGGAGAGAAGGGAGGTTCCAACATCTATAGAGGAGAAATGGTCCAAGTCTAGCCGATGTGGGACTCCAACACATCCCTTTCAAAGGAGGCTAGACGGGCACTGATTGTGTGAAAGGGTCAAGAGGGGGCTATATAAATATTGATTGCCAAAAGTGTCGAGTCCCTAGAGAGGTAGACCTTGGCTCAGATACCATGTGAGAATATGTGGAACCCAATCAGATTACTCTCCAAAAGAGTCCTTGAGGAGAGAAGGGAGGTTCCAACGTATACAGAGGAGAAATGGTCCAAGTCTAGACATTGTGGGACTCCAAGACACCTGCTTGAGCTCTGGCTGTATCAAGATTTAGACAGGGATAATAGCTTCCTAAGGTCATTATATCAATCAAATAAGGCAGCTTAAAATGCTAGAAGCTTGGTACTCTACTATTACATTTTCTGTATGATCTCAATAGTAACATATTAAACAAAGTCTTCAGGAAAAATATGGTGAATAGAAACTAAACCATTGGCGGAAGAGAAGAAGATGCTCTTCAAGAACCATCATAGAATCGCAGTGGAAACTTAGTGAAGTCTAACTGTCTAAGCACATATGAGAGCTAGAGTTGAACAGTGATGAAGTCAGGATATATCCCTTGGAAGCACTCAAAGGCCTGCTGAAAGAAGTTGAAGGCTGAGAAAGATAGATCAGATATCAAGAGAAATGATGATATAACCAACTACAAGCACATTGGCAAGAACCTTATATCACGATATAAATTCCCTTGTTCCAATATGCAATGATGGAAAATAAATAACATCTCTTACATAAGCTGTTTGTCTCAACCTCTAAAGTCTAGGAACTTATGTCAGTACCCTTTTGAGCCGAGTAAAGTTCCTGTGACCATAATCACAATCTAATTGCTGAAAGTTTTTGAAGCCTACAAAGGAGGGAGCATTGCAAATTTACAATTCAACGTTGAGATGCCTTATAGTTTTTGTTAAATGAGTTGTTGAAAGAAAATCCTGATGTGAATAATTTCAAACAGAAAAAGAACAAAGAAAATCATACCCATAACAAGGAGATGAAAGCATGAATGACACATAAAAGTAAGAAAGAAATTAGAAATAGAACTAAATTGCAAACCAGCTCTACTTATGAATTTATTTGGACATGGCAAATGGTAACGAAACTTTCTTCCCTCAATGACATTAGGAATTTAGGATTATCTAACCTGCAACAACGTTCCTTGGTTGTTTACAGCATTTGAAGACATGGGAGGAGTATTCTTCAGGTACATTCCTGTTAAAAGAAACAACACCTTATTGTCAAGAGGATGGACGCTCGATAGTACCCTACAGCTTTATCAATCCTTTGTTTTTGAAGTGCATACCAGATGACTCAGAAATAGTCTGGACACTGTCACCTACTGGGAGCACATCCACCAGATGAGCAGGAAGTGCTGATGTGATCTGTCTTTGGTCCATGGGTATACGCAAGCCTACAAGAAGAATAAATTATGGGATCTCAAACCAACAATCCTGATCGAGGGCCGGATGAAAAATGGAAGCACTTGCAACTTTATAGTTTACAACAACTAGATATGACTTTCTTTCTCTCACATTTTATTATTGTAAAAAAAAAGATCATCATAAATCATAGAAGTACAAGCACAAGAATGACAAGTAGCTCCTTCACATGATTTATTATTCTAAAAGCTCCTTTTTCATGTGGGTAGTAGTTATTATTGATATATCTATTTAACGTGAGTTATTGTCATAAAAATAACCATTCTAGCCATCCAACGTGTAAGGATTATGTAGCACAAATGCTGGGATGAGTTTTCTAACCAAGTGAGCTTAATAAAGTCCTCTTCACAAGGCACCTAACAAGTACGAAACCATGCTCAATTAGTGCAAAGTTTCTCATACAATTCCATGCATATTTATGCAGCATCATCCTCTTTCAGACATCATGAAGCTCATCTCTTTTTACTTTGTGATTGTATAAATGGAAAATATTTAGTTATGTTCCCTAAACTACTACATAATCAAAATTCTTTAAGTGCTTAGATTAATCAGTGACTTAACTCCAACCCAAAACTATGCAACTGTGCTCTAAATCTTCAGGAGAGTGGCATACCACAAAATTATTAACTGAAGATTCATCAAGTCAGAATAGGAACAAATTATTCACGAATAATACAATTTGGCATGGGCGTTAACGTAGAGAGTTCGAATGAGTGAGGCGTGTTCTATATCTCAACTAATCATATCAATGTGTTGGTTAAGTCACAACTCAAATGTAGGTTATCTCACATAAGAACACCAATCTGCAACATTCTAAAGCGTTGATGAGTCAAACCTGTCTTAGGATATTAAACTCAATGACCACCAATTCAGGTGCAACAGAAGAAATAATGCCATAAGAGTCTCAAGTCGCATATTACAATTGAGAGAACGCAGGAACTTGAGGAGCGGTAAAGAGATGAATGAAAGCATTAATTGCTATAGGAAAAATTATCAGGAGTAGCACTCTAAAGGAACACCTTGTCCATGATTAACAGCATGTCTCAATAAATTTTCCTGTTCCTGAATCTTTGCAGCTTGTGCCTTATCTAAAGTCAGGATATTCGTGGGCCCCTGTCGAGTGCCAAAGTAGGTTTTCCGAGTATCAGCAATGACTTTTTCAGCACTTTCACAAGCTGCTCCGATCATGTCAATTCTAGCCTGCAAAAGACATAATGGTGCATATGAAAGGTTATAGGAAATAGAAGGTGATCGCATTTATGCAGCAACACCATATATATATATATATATATATATATATATATATATATATATAGGGTTGGGTTCTCGTGAGAATGAAAGTTATGATGAGAAGGGATCTCCACCATTGGATCAATCCAAATTGAAGATCACCAAGATGAGATGTACCGAGATGCATTGGATCAATTCTTGTATCAAGCATAATTCATAGGGTGGGAGTGATATTAAAAGTGATCAAGGGTCTGGATCCCTTCTTACCATTCTCACCTTGACTCCTATTCTCACACGATCCTTTGTGTGTGTGTGTGTGTATATATATTACCTTTAACTTTTCAATCTGTGAGGGTACAGACAGATTCTGCATTGCATAGAGTAACTGCTCTCGCTTGGAATTGTCATCCGCTTCTATCTCAGGCAATAGTTTTGATGAAATCATAACAGGCAAAACTACAATGGAAGTAGAAATCATTAATTTCATCTTCAATTTCGATACTATACAAAGTTTCACTACTATGCCACCGAGGATCCTGGGATATAAAAGCATTTTGACATTATATTCAGGAGATCAATCCAGATTCTCAGGCATAAGATTATATTTAAAGATGCAAAGAATGGGCAAGATTATGCTGGTTTATGAAACATAAATTCTTACTGGCAGCATTTTCAGCATTGACATTCTTTGGATGAACAACAAAAGCCTTTGAAACCTTCTTAATATCTTCGACAATGTTATAGAGCTCAAGGTTTACCATAGAAAATTGACCTAGTACATCTTGCCTGGTGCACCCAAAGAAAAGGTCAGCAAATTTTAGTTTAAAATTCAAAAGATGTGGGGCTTTGAAGCTTTGTTAGATTCGAAGAAGAGGTTATAATGTGGGAATTCAATTGAAGATGTGTAATCGGAGAAACTAACCATTTGGGTACGGAATTGGTGCGGGCAATGAGATCGAAATCTTCAAGGATGCGAGAGATGGCTTTAAAGAGGCTGATGGCTCTAGTCTTGACGGATTCTAGGTTGAGCTGCTGTTGTACGGCAGGGTTGAGCCTCTCCACAACCTTGGCCGGGGGTGGTTGTTCTGGTTGCTGTTGCTGTTGCTGTTGCTGTTGCTGTTGCTGTTGCGGCTGGGATTGGCCTACTCCCAAGGGACCATCCATTGCAGAATGCGCTTAGAGCTCTGGAATCTGGATTGTGTTTGAACGAGAAAGAGATGATGAAGAAACAATATAAGCATTAGTATTTAATATTCCACTTTCTAGATTTATATTAACATATGATTAAAAATGGTTACAACTAATAATTTTTTCTTAAGATTGAAATTGAGAAGAAGCCGAATACAAAATTATAATTAGGGTTACCAAAAACAATGTTGGGTTTGTTGCTTCCTCATTTTATTTTGGTTGTTTTGTATCGTTTTTTTACGAATTGGTGTATGTGTAATCTTTGTTTATGTTATAAAAGCTTGATCTTTCTTCTTCTCCTTTGTTAATTAATATATGTTATCTTTCAAAATAAAAGACGATGATCTTCATAGATTTTATGTTATTTTATAACATCTTGATTTGTTATATAAACTAGAAAAAAATTTAACATAACTTTAAAATATTATTAAGATTTCGAAATTAATTATATTTTCTTTCAAAATTAATTATATTTTCTTTCAAATATATAATAATTATATACCACAAAATAGAATAAATATTCCTAGAACTTTCCTCACCCTTTTATAAGATTCGATCATTGACCTCTTCATATTAATTATATTATTAAATACATTTTTTTTTATCTCTTGGTCTCTGTATGGTTGAAAAACTTTCGATGCAACAAAAATAAATAAATAAATATATATATATATATATTAGATTAGATAATTTATTTATTAAAAGGTAACCGAATAACACAATTAAATTGAAGCTAATCGAATAAAAATATTTTATTTGGTTATTTTTTTCTAATTCGGGAATACTATTATTTTTTTTATATATTTTAATTTTTATACAAATAATACAGTCGTTGTTTGTATTAGCTATTGTTTTTGTTTTTGTTTTATATTTTAAATAAACAATTTAACAAAATTTGTTATTTAACTCATTGTGATTCCTTGTTGTTGAATAGTTTGATACATAATGGTTAAAAAGCTATCATGATATTCACCTCTTAACGATTTAAAGATTGTCTTTTAATGAAACTATTAAGAGATAAACAAACAACCTTTTAACAAAAATAATTGTTTGATAATGAGAAAGTTAAATTTACAAGCACTTCATATATCAGTAAAATATTTACATTTTACTCAACCCAATCACCAATAAAAAGTGAGTTTTGATTAGTTAAAAACCTCCCGGATAAACCAAATTTAAATCTCAATTTTTCGGAAACAATGAATTGTTACTCAGCCACCATTCAGGAATCATTCGGTATGCGAAAAAATACCAGATAATACAAACAAAATCATGAAGATAAAACAACATTACTAAACTACAGATGTCAAATTAAAACCTTTGACCATTCTCTCATTTGTTCGGTCGAATACAACCCTATCTTTGTATCAAACACACCCTTTCACTCGGAAATTTACCAAAATGGTAGATATCTACAACCAAATTCACTTTTTAACCGCTTTTGGAACCAAAGATTCTTGGAGCTTACACACATACTTAAAACATATTTTCAGATTAAGAAAAAGAATCCCTTTACACATAAACGTGGATCCTTACCCAATTTGAGTAAAGATTTTTTTCCTTTTTTTATCAATCTGAAAATCGAGTTTACATGAATGAATGCATAAATTTTAGATAGAATGGGAATTCGATTGAAAAAGTGAATTTGATCGATAAAACATTTATGCAATAATCTTCGCATCCAACCAAACCAATTTATGGTATATACTCACTCTTACAAGGTTCACATCCCCATTCTTGTTGATTACTTCCTGCCTGCTGCCCTTGATTAATGTAAAACATAACACCCTCTTCCAGGCCAATATTATTAAAATAAATTGTTGTTTTATTAAATATCAAAAACAAAAACTCCTAATCCAAATCCAAATCCCAACTAAGTCTCCATGTTAACTGTTGTTGTATTGTAGTAAAACACAAGCATTCAGGGGAGACAAGTTTTTATACCTCCCAACTAAAAACCACCTTTCTTTCTTACTTGTGCACCCTGTACACACCGCCTCTCTTTATCAACTTCCACAGTGCTGCTTTCGCTTCCTCCACCGTTTTAATCCCATCCCATTCTTCAAATACCAACCTCTGAATGTTAAACTGCAAAGATGTCGAGAGGTTTAGGCCATATACAACAAATAAAGATGGATATATATATATATATAGAGAGAGAGAGAGGTAGGTTCAAGGGAAAACCATTCATCTGAACACTATGCACATGTGTATACACGTACCCTGAACCTGACCCTATATATATATATATATATATATATCAAATTTAATGTCTGGTTTCTTATAAGTTTCATACCTGTGCACCTTGACGCACACGAATATCTGTCCCCTTGCTGTCTATTGATATCAACGAAGCATCATCCACTTCACTCTCCAACGATAGTAGTTCTTTTAGGGGTTTGGAAAATATAGCATTCAACTCCTGTGCCATGAATTTAAATAATTTCTTCTGATATAAAAGGCAATGATTATACCAACATAAAACTGGCAATAATTCAAACCCTCACCTTCAGGTTCTGCTCACCGCCATTAACAGCAATCTCATCAGGTTGAAGAGCTTCATATTCCTTGACATTAACCCAAGCAACAGTGCCAAAACCTCCAATAAAATATATATCACTGCTTCCAAGAAATATACCAATGTGAATTCCTTGGTTTTGATAATCTTTCAACAAGCATAATCATAGATAATATTGAAATAACAAACAAGGTTCTTGACTTCTAAAACAGGGGATAAGAATGTTGGCTCACAGAGATCATAGTATTACAAGGGGTCAACCTTTTTTCCCTTAATTCAACATAATTGGAATCAGCCATAATAAATATAGTTTAAACTAACAAAAAAGTTGATAACATAAGCAGGTCAAAGTTTTCAGAGGACATGGAATAGAGTTGATGAACCTGGACAGAAGCATGTGTATTCCCTATATATTATGGTGTGGAGAGACGTCTCATATACATACATATATATATGGGGGTGTCTAGACTCACATTGCATCATGTTGTATGTAATATGGATGAGAGAAGTTTGTGAGGAGTGAAAATTGGAATTAATATCTTCAAACTGAATACAGGACACAACTATATATACTAGAGTTATCAATTAACCAGGACCTTCTAGCACCTTCCAACTCACTAACAAGTAGCCAACCGATTACAAATTATATTAGGCTAAAACACCCTCATTAACTTAGTCTTGACTGTGTTTGTATGTTGCGGCGGTTTTATTGCTGGAAATATTCGGGGAGTTTTATTGCTGGAAAAACAGGTGTAATTTGGGTTTACAGATCAAGAACGATATTTCTCCTTTAATCATTGTTTCTTTCATGGACTGTGTGGTCTTTGGAGACAAAAGAGATAATCCTCTATTTTAGAGGGTTTTCCCATGTTAAAATTATGGCTTCAATCTCTTGTGTTGTTGGCTTCCACTGGTCCTTGTAATTACATCCATATGCATATATGCATATGTGTGTGTATATATATATATATATATATATTATATGTACGTGTGTGCATGTAGAGTACATGCAAGGCTTTGAATGCAATAAGGATCTACTTCAGTTCAGAAAACGCACAAGAGCTGCAATGGTTATTGCATATCCTCAAGCAACAATAAGTAATTGTGCAAGGCAGACAACAATGGAGTTCCCGAAAAATGGAAGTCCGTCCATTAAAATAAATAAACCTAAAAGCAAATCACTGCAATAAGCTTATACATAGAAAATAAACCTTATATTCTGCATCCTAAAGTAGTAAAAGTTTCCCCATTGCTGCGAAGGCCCCTGTTGATGTTTTGCTATATACTGCTTATGTGCCCATTCCTGCAACACAAAACCAACAATGCCACCAACAGTGTTGAATATTTACCACACAAACAAAATTACACTATTGACATGCCAACCAATTATAATGGGCCAGAGAGAAGAAATTTGCAACAGATGGCAATCATATGATTGACTAGATGAACGCATTATCAAGGGTATATATTTTGATAACAAAAAACCATATCCCTGGTCACACCCTTAGCATCAATAACAGTAATTCCTAAATAAAGTTTTATATGTTTGAAGATGAACCACCTGTTGATCTTCCGCAAGAGGGTAAACATCACCAAAAATTGTAACCCTTGCATTCGATAAGCCGCTCCATCCAGGTATCTGAAAAGAGAACCACCAGTAAGAGGTATATTTGCAGAAGGCACCATCTTAAAGTTCATTCATGTGTGCAGTGCAAAATATATACTAACCTGAACGACCAATGTACACCTTGGATCGGCTAAGAGATTTCTTGTGTGGATACCCAAGTGTGAAAAAGAAAATATTGGATCTGGAAATCAAATATGAAAAGAGATGTAAGAATTCTAGTCTCGAATATTTCAACTCAATCAAATTCAAAAGATATTGTCAACTGTTACTTTTATCTCGGTTCTTAAAATAAAGAGAAACAGTGATACCACCACAGTCGGATTCTTTTCGTCTTTCAAAACTGATTGTGTAGAAAGACAGATGATTACTCGTACAAAAATTTCATGGTGAAAAAGATCTAAGAGAAAGTGATGAACGTTAATCAACTAATCATGGTCAATGAATTGGAAACTTACGTCCCATTGCATCTGGTGCAAAATCTACTAGTGAACCAAATGGGTATCCTTTGCTTCGTTGGTGCATCCGAGACATTGAAGTAGACAGGTGAGCAAACCTAGCCTTAAGTTAGATATAGCGAAAAAGATTAGAACTTTCTAATGCAAAAACTGAATTTAAAGTCAATGATATGACTAAAATCATGATAATAAGTCAAAAAAAATGCTTATGAATATTTGTATACCTGTTCCATCAGATTGCGGACTGCCAAGGCTGGTCTAGGTAAGTCATGAACAGAGGTTGCACTCTGCACTCCCCCAGATATTGGGGTTCTGAAAAGACCAGCCTTGGTGCCTCCTCCAGTTCCTACTCCATGTGTTTCCGAAGGAGATGTCACAAGATCTGATTTCTTATCCAAGCCCTTCATAACATGAAAGATTTCATCAAAACATTGATGTGTCCATTCATAAGCTACATCACATCAAACTTGTGCTTTTCATTCATCTCATCGTTATCGATTTATCGTAAGTTTATCCATTGTTTACACCAAAAAAAACCAAACAAACCCGGCATGTCCCACCCGAAGGTGTGGTCTGGGGTCGGATGTATGCTGACAGAGCGATTGTTTCGGTTGTGCAAAGTGTGAGAAAAGAAATAATAAAGCTTGCTAAAAATGCGGAAATAAAAAAGTAAGAACTTGAAAATAAGATAAGGGACATAAATAGCTTAATTCATACGAGCGAAAAGGACATGCGTCTCTTTTCATGAACTAGGCCATCAACTATCGCTTCTCAAAATGAACACCCAACCAAAAACACGATAATTGAAGGACGGATGAAATCATGAATAAATTTAAAATAGTTTTCTGCCAACCTTCTAGAGAGAGACTCAAACAGAACGGTTTGTAAGGAGTACAACTTAAGGTCTAAAATAGTGTTGCGTCAGGATTCTTTACAACAACGATTTATTACTTTCTGACCAATTTTTTTGATCCCTAAATTTTGTTCCTTTAAAGTTAATTACTCGTAATTATGATCTTCCAAACTCAAACTACTTTAATGCTTCGTAGTTGTGATATTTAAAAGGCAAATTACACATTCATGGTGGATAAAACCGCTATCAATCGACCCTTTTTCACCAGTAAGGCAAGTAAACCAAGTTTAATAAAACGAAGCGTGGACATGCGAAAATCAGTGGAAGCTTCTGACAGATACCAAATTGACACGACTAAATAGCAAAAACAAAATATGCAAGTAAAAATTATACCGAAGAAGTAGAAGAGGAAGGTTGTTGAGGAGAAAAATCAAGGACATTGTGAAGATGTAGTTGTTGATCATCTTCGGCGTCACCTGAAACTTCACGGGCAACAGCGGCGAGAAGCTTAGTTTTAGGAAGAGATAAGTTAATTACGAGGGAGGAAGCAGGCTTAGGGAATGATTCTTGAAAAGCAGGAAAGAATAGAGAGGTTGAAGAAAGAGCTTCCATGGAAGTGGTGAGCAGGGGTTTTCAGAGAATAATGGTGGACGAAAGAAAATTGAAATAGAAAAAGGTTTGGGGAGGGTGGGGGTTACTATAAAGTTTATAAACACTACACTAAATAATGATATGTCCCACTGGGCCTGGGCTTGGAATTGGACCTCACCCAAGGCCCAATAGGCCTAAATTATTTATGTAGAGTAAATTACAAACTTCCCCCCTGTAATTATTGAGAATTATGGATCAAGTCCTCCAAACGAGATAATTACATGGTTCACTTTCGTTACAAATTGGATTCCACTAATCATTGCCCCGTTAAGTCAAGGAAACATGGTCATTTTGTTACTTTTACTTACTAAAGTGACGATTTCTAATTTTGTTTCAATATCGATTTGTACCAAGAATGCACTAGATTTTCCCATTGCTATTCAATATAATGTTTCTTATTAAACTCAGGTTTTTATTTCAACGAGTCGAATACAATTTGGTTTCTTTTTCTTTTTCTTTTGTTCATCCCTTTTTAAACATTTTGTGATATTGACACTCGTGTATGTACCAAACAGTTTGTGTATTGAACAATTGGTGCCCTGAATTCTCCCTTTACAACAAACATCCACGAAAACCACAACTTTAAGTGTTTTCATCTTCTCTGATTTCCAATCAACTTCTTTGATAAGATGATTTTGCTCATGATATAATTGGTGCTTCCATCTTGATTAACAGTAGGTTGGGTTTGCTACTCCGTGAACACTGCGATGCAAACCAAATATGAAAACCCTGGATGAAGAAACCGAACCTAGATATATGTGTGTTAGAGGTAGGGGCGAAATCTTTGGAGTAGCAAGTCTGGAGTGGAGGAAGGTCACTGATGAAGAAGACGGAGAAATGTCGCCAACGGCAGAAGGGGGAAGAGCCTCGACAACAGGGACGATGTTTGTGTAATTTACTCTTAGAAATAAATGATATTGTATTTATTTTTCGACAACTACATAAACTATATATATTTTTTATTTGATAAAAAGACCAAAATATCCTCAATTTACCGGAACTAAAGTTAACGACGTTAAGAAAAGGAACTCAATTCATAACAAAAATGAAATCACAATGACAATACATGCAATTATTTAATTTGAGCAACCTGATAAAAAAAATCATATAACCACTAGGAAGATATTTTTAATTTACTCATTTGGTTATTTAAGCACAAATTAAAATTATTATTACTTTTATGAAGAAAAAATATATTTGATTTAGTTAAGAAGGAGAATAGATACATATATTAAAGGTAGGAATGCGGCATGAAAATGAAGACAATTTTGTTCAAGATTTTATTTCTTTATTAAACTAGTTGTGTACCTATGCAATGCGGCGGGAGCCATGAATTTTAATGATTTTGAAGTTCCACTGGTTTTATAAGATAAGATTTAACGATGATATAGGTTACACTTGGTTTTTACATATTAATACAATTTGAATAAATAAGAGTTATGGTTCCAATTACAGACTATCGATGGAAAAAATTGTATGACAGTTTAAAATCCAACATATTTAAACGACTCCATAAATGTATTCGATTTACACCAAGAGCAAAGAACCAAGAAACTTGAGTTTTAAGATAAACACTTAAAACCAATAAAGAAAACTACAAATTTGACATATCATAAGCCATCAAAAAACAAAAAAAAAATGGGTTTTAAAATGAAATTTCAACTGCTTACCCTATTTCTTGTCCAGAAACTCAGATTAAGATTGAATTAATACATGTATATATATATATTTCAAAAAAAACCCAAGAACATATTAATTCAAAACATATTATACAGTGCAATTTGGACAGCCTAACCCCAAAATATATGATATATATATAAATAAATAACTATAAAAATATAAATCGTAAATATTAAGAATATTTTTCACATTATATATAATATATAATAATATAATTAAGTCAAAAACTATTCAATATTGGACTCATTTCGAAGGTATTAACGAGTTGATTATAATGGTATAACTTGTTAAAATAAAAATGTATTTTTTAGACATGTTTTAATTGATATAGGATTATGTATGTTAATTTGATAAAAGTTTAAAATGAAATATTTTAAAGTAAAGAACATAAAGTAAATTAATTAATTAATTATAAGGGTATAAAATGTAAATTTAAAAAAAAAATCGTGTTATGAGGTGAGGGGATGAGTGTATGTGAGGAGAGGAGGGGGTGAAAAGTGAGTATAAAGAGTATTTTGGACATTTAGTATTTTAAAACTTTAACAATTTTGCTAAATTTACTTAATAAGATAGTATAGATAATATATAACCATTTTTTTATATGAATTTAAACATCCGTATCTAAAAAAAATAAGATTTTGCAGTGTGAATAGCTACCTTTTTTAACACAAGAGTTCATAAAATACAAAATTCAAACATCACAAATGGTGGATTCGGGAATATGTAAACCTTCCAAACAATTTTTTTTCCAAGTATAAATAGAGCAACATGTCCATATCCAATGTTTCAAAAACATTTGTCAATCTGTTGTGCCTAACAAATTCTCATTAATATGCAAGGTGGATCCAGCGGGTTCTCGTACACCCACTCAACTGATATTCGTAAGTATATTTTTTTTATATGAAACGTGTGCATGATAAATAACATGTTAAATATTTGATTAATATGTGTTAAAAAAATATATAAATCGGTGTGTTTCATTTTTTTTTTTTGTAAGGGTGTCCGGGCCAAAGCCCGACTAATCCCCGGCAAATTTGGAGGCTAAACATGGCCCCACTTAAATGTCGCCAACACTCCCCTTCCAGGGCTCGAACTCGGGTTCATGACTATGCCATGCACAAGCCTTTACCACTAGGCTGGAAGGTCTTTGACGGTGTGTTTCATTTTGTGAATAACAAATTAAAAAGATGAAACAAGGTGAAGAAATAGTGCTTTAGTGGGGAGCATAGAGAAGATATATATATATATATGGACTCATTCAAGGGAGAATTGAGTTATTTGTGGTAATCGTGAGGTCTAATCTCAACAAATCATTTTAATATATTAATTATTCAATTTAATTTATTTTAAAAGGGTATGTTAGTCAATTCCTAAATTAATATTAAATTTTAATTTTTAAAATAGAAATGTTTCACAAAAAATAATTAATATTGATTTACCACAATGTAGCACACCATTGTTCACACACTATCACTGCCAATGGTGATTTTGAGTGTCTGATGCCACAACCAAGGGTCCCCTCATTTATGAAAGAGTGCGGTCGCCATCGCTAAGCTGCTTCTTTCTGCAGCTGCTTAATCTCTCTTCCTCCGTCGGCGATGACATCTCTACGGTGGCTAACAGAACCCTCATCTATATGTTCTTCCAACTTTCTACCTTTCAAGCCCATGTACAAAACCCTACCTAGACCAACGACAAAACCCTACCCAAAATCATCACCAATAGATCCGTCCTTCAATACAATCGCAAGCCGGAGCTCGCCGGTGATACCCCAAGAGTCGTTGTCATCACATCTGGCAAACACGATGTCTGCAAAACCACCACCACTACCAATGTTGGTCTTTCCCTTGCTCGATTGGGCTTCTCCATTTCTTGTTTAGGAGTCAAATCTCTGTATGTGTATGCGAAAACTCTGTGTATATTAAGAATATTAACGGATTTGTAGGACGCTCAAATCCGGCTCAATAAATTAAAAAAAATGACCATCTTACCCTTCTTTACATTATGTCATTAAATGTTACTAATGTATTTTTGGAATTACATTAATTAAGATTCCTTTCAATTTTAACCATTGATTATTAGGATGTGTGGTTGAGATTGAAACTCACGGTTATCACAAACAAAACAAATTTAACTATTTTATAAAGTAAATTTAACAAAAGTCTTAAAATCTTAAAATACTAAATGACCAAGATACCATTTATATCATTTTTTCACTTTTTCACCCTCTCTCCTCACATACACTCACCCTCTCACAACCGATTTTTTTTTAAATTATAATTTTAAATTTACACTTTATACCCCTATAATTAGTTAATTAATTTACTTTACGTTCTTTACTTTTAAATGTTTCATTTTAAACATTTATCAAATTAATATACATAATCATATATCAATTAAAACATGTTTAAAAAATACATTTTTATTTTAACAAGTTACACCATTATAATCGTCTCGTTAACAGGGCCGGCTCTGGCCATAAGCCTAAGGGGCGATGGCCCAGGGCAACATGAAGCCCAAGGACATCAAATTTTATAAAGTCCAATGTATTATATAGGTTGAGTTTGATTTGGGCCTAAAAAAATTACCAGGCAGTCCAGTGAGTCTGCGCACACGTCCATCATATTCATCGTCTCTCGCTCGCCTCGCCTACGGCCTACCTGACTACCTCGCTCTGTCGCTCACAGCTCACACACTCTCAATCGCAAACGGTAAACGCTCTCACTCTCAATCGCAATCGCAATCGCAAACGGCAAACCCTCTCGCTCAGGAATTGCCACTGTCGATTGACAAACACTAACAGATTACCGATTCACTCTTGCTCTCGCTCTTGCTCACGAACTGTCGAACTGACGAACATATTATTCCTTTGTACCGATTCGCTCCTGCTCTCGCTCTCTCGACTATTGACTTGTGAGGTTAGCCGGTTACTGTTAGGGTTATTAATATTTACTTTACTTATTTTATTTTTTATATTTCTAATTCTTGATTTCTTGTTTGATTCATTAATAATCTAGATGATGTTGCCCTCCATACTTAGGTTTTCTTTTAAGCTTTAAAGATGTAATCAAGGTCGGTCCTGAGATTTTGGATGCCCATGGCGGATCAAAAAAATGCCCCTTATATGTGTAAATAAAAATCAAAATAAACTATTTGAAGGGGTTTGGAACCTAGTCAATCTAGGCGACTCATCCCCACTCCAATTTATTTTAAATATAACAAATATGATAGAACAGGGGGGCATAAACCAAAACCCCGTGTAACAAAATATAAAATACATCACCATTCGTGGTTCGTGTTGTGAAATTGCCAAGAAAGTGGAACGATCAAGCAA